GAGGCCCCCGCCGGCCGCCCGCCCGTGCTCCTCGAGGCCCCCGCCGCCCGCGGGAGGGTCGGTCGCGGCAGGCGCTCCCGCGGGCCGGTGGAAGCGGCGGGGGGCCGGAGCCGGCGCCGCCCTTCTCCTGTCCTTGCAGAATTCTCCTCTCCTCTTCCCCCTCCCGCGACGCCGTGCTCTAGCGTATCGAGGTCGTGATCGTGCCGCTGCCCTCCGACCTGGGCGAGAGCGAGATGCCCGCTCAAACAAACAAACCTTTTGCAAGTATACAGGTGCCAAAGATCACGGGGATCGAGATTCTGTTATCCTATCTGGCGTCCCTGTGTCCGCTACTCAGAAAACACGGCTTGGCCTTTGCTCCGACCTGGTTGTACGCGGGGGATCTCACGTCGCGTTCCTTCCCAATCTCCGGGTTGGTGCAGGGCGCTTTCCTGGGTCTGGGCTTTCAGTGCTGAGAAGTCACTTGGCTGCCCTGGGCCCGTCCGGCCCGCGCAGGTGCCCGCGGCGCCACTGGGTGGCACTGTCTTCCGCCTCTGCAGGGACCTGGAAGGCACTGCTGTCGCTGACTCTGCCCTGGTAGAGGGGAGGGGACTGTGGAATGCCGGCGGGTGGCTGGTGGGGGGAGCAGTGGGGGTCAGTGCGTTGACTTGTCCGGGGATGATTCGTCAGTGCCCCAAGTTTGTTAAAGACTGCTCAGGTCCAAGAACAGCCTGCATTTCGCGTTTTATTTTATTTTTCGGTGGGTTCTCACTCTCTCACCCAGGCTGGGGTGCAGTAACACGATCACGGCTCACCATAGCCTCGACCTCCCGGGCTCAGACCATCCTCGTCCCTCAGTCTCCTGAGTAGCTGGGGCTTTTGGCATGGGCTGCCATGTCCAGCTAATTTTTTTGGTTTTTTGTAGAGAGAAGGTCTTGCTATGTTGCCCAGGCTGTCCTTGAACTCCTAGGCTCAAGCGATCCTCTCACCTCGGCCTCCCAGAGTGCTGGGATGATAGATGTGAGCTGCTCTGCCCAGCTGTGCATTGCCCACATTTTAAAAAAACATCAGTAGACCTGAGAGCAGCCACCAACATTTAGTAGGGGATGTTCATATCATCCCTGTCAAAGCTTAGTTTGTGTCATAAAAGAATCAGTATTTTTCCTGAAGATTCCTTTGGCCTTACTTCCTAGTCAGTTAGGTTTATGCTTACTAGGTGATGTCATGTATCTGTGGAGTAGCCTTCCATATCTTGGACTGACAGATTTAAGGGGGAAGAGACACAGAACTTTCATGGAAACTCAGCATCTTTCCCGAGAGCATTTCTCACCTAAAACACATGTGAAATAAAACCCTCTGGGTTAAACATACTTGTTACAGGTGTTGTCTGGATAGCCCTGGCCGATGAATATTTACCTTTTAAGAAATATATGTTTATTTTCTATTGCAGAAGTTTTCATATTTTTACTTAAAATCAGAAACTTTATCATTGAAGTCATCCTTGTTCAGGAAGGTCATATTTACACGTGGTGACATCTTTTTGAGAGCGTCATTTTGTTTGCTTTCACATGCACACACATGCAGGGGTCTTTGAGAAAGAAGGGTCACGCCTTTGCTTTCATCACAGCTGTCTTGCTTTTCGTAGCTTACTTATCTACTATAGGCCTGTTAATTATTTTGACGTCTGTTCTAATTAAGTCAGCTTCATTTTCTGGGAATTCAAGCAGCACTTGGTATTTTAATTGAACTACAAGGAGGAGGGAGAATCTTTTCCTATGTCAAATGAACTTTGGTCACTGCTGAAAGAGGCATGGAGTATTTCAGGCAGAGATGAAACTAGGTGGAATTTGCTGGAAATGTGTGAACCTTCCAATTCTTCAAGATCTGCATTTCACTTTGTGGCTGGTACAAGAGATGGCTACGAGTCTTTGGAATTTTCCCCACAAATTATCATCGAAAATACAGCAACACTGCGGTGTTCTAGCATGCGATTATTAATGCTCTATCGGGATTTCAGAAAATGCCTGGGATGGGAAAGCAGTTGGTGTTTGACTTGGTATAAATAGAATACTTTTCAACGTCTTGTCACGCTGTGCCAGGGAGCCCTTTAATTACAAATGCCTTAAAAATTTTGTTAAAGTTTTTATAGAAACTTAGTGAAATGTTCTTATTCTGTTCAATTGTGGTAAGAGCTCTCAACTACTGAGTGCTAAGTACGTTCTTTTTATAGCTCTAAATTATAGCCTCTTTTTAAAAGGGGAAACAACTTCAGTATCATAGGAATTTGGAATTTTTCTGCACCTCCTTTTTGGTTGTGAGTATGACCAGGAGCCTGGGGGGCCAGACAGCGCTTTGCACAAGGAGGGCACAGTGAGAGACCATGTTGTCTCTGTGAAGGCCATCTCCTCTCCAGGCAGAGACCACATGGTGACCAGGAAGAGGAACCCCAGAGACACACGGGCCCTGGGTCTTCCTCCAGGACGTTCAGCTGTGCTTGATTTGCTTGGTTGTCTGTGGTCTGCTCAGGTGTCTGGGGGATCAGCGGCTCCAGGCCCTGGGCCAAACAGGAAGGCACATTCCTCCCACTGTTCATGTCAGAGGAAGAGCCACTTAGACCAGGCCGTCATGAAGCCTCACTCTCTGTAAAGGATGTTGATATTTGATCTGGGGCAAGAAAGCCCTTCAAATAAACCCGGACACCACACACACCTCATCTAATCAAACAGTGTCTGTGTGTGTCTTAAAAAGGAAAGGTTTATGGGAAGGAAATGTCAGACATCTATAGACATAAGCTTGATTGTCATTTTATTTGCATTTTCAATATACTTTTCATCCCAAGCAATATTACCCCCGAGGGGCAACATTGTTTTTAGGAAATGACAAACTTTTTTTTTCTGTGTAATATACAGATTTACACACACACACACACACACACACACCCATGCACTTTTTTTTTTTTTTTTTGGAGGGGGCACAGCTTTAAAAATTTTTTTTCTTCTTTTCTGACTAAATGTTTTCCTGGATGAAACCAACGGTGTACTTGTTTCCTAGGTCAGGACTGTGAGTCGCTTTGAACTTTCCCACGACTGTCCAGTGATTTCAAATTCAGCCCTTCCTCCTTACTGCCTCCCAGCCCGCCCAGCCCACTGGCTCTCCTGCCCTGCCCCCGCTGTCTCTGCTCCTGTCTCTGGCCTTGCCAGTTGCCAGTGCTTCTGCCAGGCCCATTTGCTTCCATTATGTTACTTTCTTGCCCCCAAACCTCCCTCCGGCAGGGTCCTCTCGCCCTCTCCGTTGTTTACTTGGAAGGCTGAGGCGGAAGGATCGCCGGAGCCCAGCAGGTCGAGGCTGCGGTGGCCGGGAGCGGCCACTGCACTCCAGTCTGGGTGACAGAGTGAGACTCCAACTCAAAAAAAAAAAGAACATTACAGGTTTTTGTATGATGGGGTTGTTCGTCCATTAGCTGCTAATACATTGTTACACTTCAGTCCCAGGCAGTTTATGGGCCTACTGGACACTCTGGTTTTTGTGGGAACTTTTGCTGCCCTCTGTGTTTTTGATTCTATTTCCCTCCCTTACAGCTGGCCTGGGCAGGACAGGGACACTGATCGCCTGCTACGTCATGAAGCACTACCGCTTTACACACGCAGAGATCATCGCTTGGATCAGAATATGCCGGCCGGGGTCCATCATAGGGCCCCAGCAGCACTTCCTGGAAGAGTAAGTGTGCTCTCCCCCTTGTCACCTGCGTCCTGGCCCCTGGTCCCCAGTCCCCCTCCCCCCTGTGGACTACATCAGGCTTGTGGTCCTGACTGGCTGAGCTGTGAGGGATGTGTGTGCCTCTGAGGGACATTTGACCTGACAGCCCCTGCCTTCTACTTTGTACCTTTTCTGTCGCTTGAATCAGGGAAGTGAAAAGTCACAGAGCCATCTCTGCCTACCCTTTTCCTGTCACTTTCTAGTGTGATCTGGCTGCAGTGCAGTTTTCTCGGGTCACCCCACTTGGCACTTGGTGTTCTTTTCTTTTGTTTGCAAATCTAAAGGCTGAACGGGAAAACATACAGCCAAGGTCGCTCTGAGGTCGGGGAGGCTGTGCCTTCCTGACAAACACTGGCCTAAGGATATGATGGACAGACCCAAGAAATCCCCAGGGAGAAGAAGGAGGAGAGCTGGGCTTTAGTCCTTGCCCGCCACTAACTGGCCTTATGAGCATCAGTTAAGAGAATGCTTTAAAGTTCATTCATTCACCCATTTATTCATTCTCATATTCATTCATCTTTAACTTTCTGTCCAATCCCTTGAGCTGTTTACGAGTTGGAGAGATTTAACTCATCAGGGCCCGACTATTTCTGTCTACCGGTTTCTCTTTCAAGGAGAACTTGCCATCAGTTTACTCATTAGTAAAATGAGAGGCCAGGCGCAGTGGCTCACGCCTGTAATAGCAGCACTTTGGGAGGCCAAGGCAAGAGGACTGCTTAAGCCCAGGCATTTGAGATTAGTCTGGGCAGCATAGTGAGACCTCTTCTCTACCAAAAAAAAATTAAAAAATTAGCTGGGCGTGGTGGCATGCCCCTGTAGTCTCAGCTACTTGGGAGGTTGAGGCAGAAGGATCATCTGAGCCCATGAGTTCGAGACCAGCCTGGGCAACATAGAGAGAACTCGTCTCTACAAAAAAAATTAAAAGATGAGCCAGGTGGCGTAGGCCTATGGTCCCAGCTAATGGGGAGGCCGAGGCGGAAGGATTGCCTGAGCCCAGGAGGTCGAGGCTGCAGTGAGCCGTGATTGAGCCACTGCACTCCAGCCTGGCTGACGGAGTGAGACCCCAACTTAAAAAGAGGAAACAAACCAACAAAAAATGAGCAGAAAGTAGCCCTGGCTGATCTGGCTTCAGCCCTCAAACATTATCAGTGAGTGATATCTTACACCGGAACTTCATTTTTGCTCCATATACTTACTCTTTTCCACTTTAAGTCAAGGTTGGTAAGAAGCAAAGGATCATGGATTTCTTAGAAAGATACCCTGTGTAAGTTTCTAGTGTCTGAAATGACTGAGAGGGCTTGGGCCTGCTGAGGAAGGGGTTACTCTGGTTGTCAATCCCAGAGGGAATAACTGATAAGAAACAAGTGCTAAAAAGGGACCCTTGGCTTATGGGAATGATGCAGAAGTGTAATGAATGCACTCGAAAAAATATGCAAGAATTAGATTGCTAGGAAGACAGGAAGTTCTAGATCTTCCTCTGGGAAGTATAAAAAAATTATTCTAGCCGGACTCGGTGGCTCAGCCTGTAATCCCGCGCTTTGGGAGGTTGAGATGAGTGGATTGCCTGAGCCTGCGAGTTAGAGACCTGCCTGGACAACTTGGCGAGACCTCATCTCTACAATAAATCAAAAAATTAGCTGGGCGTGGTAGCACGCGCCTGTAGTTCCAGCTACTTGGAAGGCTGAGGCAGAAGGATCGCCGGAGCCCAGCAGGTGAGGCTGCGGTGGCGGGGAGCGGCCACTGCACTCCAGTCTGGGTGACAGAGTGAGACTCCAACTCAAAAAAAAAAAATTATTCTGTTATTTTTCTGCTCTGTTCTTGGCCAGACCCTCAGCCATGGTTTTCTCTGTTTTGCGTTTTGTGTGCCTGTAACTTTGTGCCCCAATCTGTGGGGTCCTTGTTATACTAATCACTTGCTAAAATTTAATGAATGGCAGTAGAGTTAAACAACAAAAGCCTAGTTCTTTAAGCCATTTAATTACTCTCTTAACATTCTTGCTTGGGAGAATGTCACGCGTTAGGTATCTCTTGGCCTGCTTGGTAGCTCAAGCCTATAATCCTAGCCCTTTGGGAGGCTGAGGTGGGAGGATCACTTGAGGCTAGGAGTTCGAGGCCATCCTGGACAACATAGCAAGCTCCTATCTTTCCACAAAAAACAACAACAAGGTGTCTCTGGAGTCCTCACCCTGCCCCAGGTGAGGTACAGCTAAGTACAGCTCACAAGGGAGGGGATGTAGCAGAGAAGGGCACGATCAGGGTCACCTGGTATTCTCAGTGTGTCAGGTGCCACAGCCTCCCTCCATGCCCGCAGACTCCTCCTGCCTCCTACCATGCCACCTTTTTCTCTGCCATGTTTGATAACAGTAAAAGGGAAATTAGGGTTATGTGGCAAAGGCACACTAGGGTATAGGAAGTTTGGGATTTTTTTTTGTCTTTTAAAAATTTTTAATTTTAAAGATGTGGGACACAATCCAGGGTTAGGTATACCAATGGTCACTGAACAGGTAGTTTGGGCCTCTCTTTGGTCCCCAATTCACCTGGTTTGAGATCAGGTATCCTTTTTGATGAAGTGTGCTCTGCCCTCCCCCCGCTGGCAGTTTCCCACTACTGCCAATTCCTTTCTTATAGTATTATAGGAAGTTTTTTAAAATTGACAGATACCTAGGCTGTAAAACTTAGGAAATGTCCTGAGGCCCAGGTAAATACTAGAGTTCTCCAAGTATTTGTCTGTGAAAGCTGAGGTTCAGGGATGATCTACTTGTCTACAGTATTGACTAAGTCATTGTGCTTAGATTAGAGACTTCCTGAAAGCAGGTGTTGTTTTTTTTTGTGTCTTAGACAGAGTTTCCTACCCAACTTGCATGGACACGTGTCCCCCTGCTCATGGCCTCCCCAGAACGGGTCTGTATCAGGTCGGGTCTGTGGCCCTCGGCTCTGTGCCTCTGAGTGGTGCCAGGGGTAGCCCAGTGCCCGACTTTCCACTGTTTCCTTTGCCCTTCCTCTTGGCTGCCTCTTCTGATTTGTTTCCTTTCCAGACATGTGGCCTCATGCCCCAAAGCTGAAACCAGCAGTCCGCTCGTAGTGCCTTTCAACCTACAGGTGCTCATTGGGTGCCCACCCTTGTGTCCAGCTGTGTGCTTGGCTTGGGGCACTTCCATTTCTCGCAGAGAACAGTACACACAATGCACCCACAGTCTGAGAGTTGTGGTGGGTGCTCCACAAAGTGGCAGGAACTGGTACGGGGGGGTTTGATGGAAGGTAGTGAGAGCTCTTTGGCCTGAGGGACAAGGAGGGCTTCTCTAAGGAGAGCTGAGACCTGTGGGGCAAGGAGGAGCTGAAAGAAGTTTGGCACCAGTAACGACACCACACCCGGTCTGAACCAAGAAATTTATTAAAGGGGCAGTTACATGAAGGGACTGTAACCGAGGAAGAGCAAGAGAGAGAGAGAGACCGAGAGAGAGAGAGAGAGAGAGAGAAAGAGTGCAAGAGAGTGGCGGGGACAGAGAGAGAAAGCAAGAGAGAGAGAGGGAGAGAGGGCGAGAGAGTGTGAGAGAGAGAGAATAAGAGAGAAGGAGAGAGAGAGCTATGCAGGGAGAAGGGTATATTTATGAACCCTGCAGGGGCTGGCCAGTGCCGGGCTTGAGTCTTATTGGAGGAGACTATGAGGTAGCATTTCTGTAGGGAGAGGTTGTTTGAGCACAGGTTTAAGTTTCGTGCGGGCGGGAAAAGCCGCTTAGGGCCTTTGTTGTCTTTGGGAGGCAGCGCCATCTTGGGGACGCCCTTCTGACCGTTCTATGCGCCTTTCATTCCCACCTTTTCTGTTTATTTGGGAGAGGGGTGTCATTATTCTTTCTGGCTGCTTCCTGCTGGATGTGGACATTGTGGGGTGAGGTGGGGGAAGGGCACAGAACCAGTCAGAATAGGGTCCAGAGGTAGGCACTGAAGGTGAGGATTCTTGAAAGCTTGAGTTGTATGAAAATTTTTTGTAAATGCAGAATGACGACTTGTTTCGGCCAGTCCTTCAGTGGGCACGAGGGCGGTAGTAAACAGCTGTCTTGGAGTAGACTGTGGAGGTAAATAGAGAACCTGGAAGAGAACATATCTAAAAGAAAAGTTAAGTGATGTTTAGGGGCAGCACCAGAAGAAGAAGCCAGGTGGGGCACAGGTAACATTGACAAGTGATGGTTGAGTTGAAACTGTGAACAGAGGAATTCTTGATGGTGGGGGGAAATGAACAGTAGGATTTTGTGTGCAAGGGGTGGCAAGATTTTCTTATGAATGGTACTGCCGTTTTTGCTATTGTGAATAATGCTGCAATAAACATGTATGTGTAGAACCAACTGTGTTGCCCACTGAAAGAAGACTGGATAAAAATGTGGTGTATATATATGATGGAATATTATGCAGCCATAAAGGACAAAATTATGAACCTTACAGCAGCTTGGGTAAACTCAGAGTCTGTGATATTGAGTGATTTATCAAAGAAACAAAGAACTGCATGAGATTACTGGATTGTAACTTAATAAAAGGAATAAAGTCAGGCCTATATTTTGACAATTGTAGACAGCGGCTGATTATTTTTTGTATATAAAACCTATAAGACCTGAAGTTGTTAGCATAACTTAAATAATAAACTTTAATTTTTGTAGCTTTATTATAAGTGGCAGCTTTTGTACTTTTGGACTATAATGGTAACCTGACAGATTGTTTTAGACTATAATTTGAACTAGGCACTTAAGTAAATTCTATATAAAATTTGAAGGGAAATCTGAAAATTTTGGAGACTTGTATTTAGAAAAGAATTTTTTATGCCTAGATTGTTTATAGAATTTTTTGTACGTATATATATTTTAAACTTTCCTTATACCATTTTTGGTGTGCTAATATCATTTTATTTTTGTTTTTTACCCCTTTTTAAAATTTTTTTTATAGCTATCTACTTTATTATAGGTCAGAAATGT